CTCTCTTTTCTCTTGTGCATGCATAAAGGGGAAATAGAGATAAGAGTTATACTATTACTGTAGTTGAGCTATAACGTACGTCGTCTCTTTGGCCCATCCTTTAACAAGTTGGTTGAATAATGTTTTACCGTGTCAATTTATATGACCGACGTTTATACATCTATGTAGAAACAAAACCACATTAACTCTTGTTTATTTTGTAGTGAATTGAAATTGAATTTTGAGAGGCAAAAATATAATTTTAAAGATGATATAATTTTAAGATAAACAAATATACGAAAGGAGTGGCTTTGAATTACTTACCAGGTTGACTTTGCCTCTTCCTTTTTCCTTCTTGTCTTTTCATAATAGATGGTCTTTCTTCGTTTTTGTTGCCATTTACGAAACAAAATAAATTTGAAAATTAAATTTATAGAAAAAACAAAATATCATGATATTTTGTAACCTATATTTTATTTTTAATTTATTTATTAAAAAAAATTGAAATCTACATTAATTTTAAGCGCGCACATACAAAAAAAGATCAAAAAATATTTTTGTTATTAATTTTTTTTTATACGTGACCATGGTATGGAATGCAGTTTTATTTCTAAACCCTATGTGATCTAAATAAGGACTTCATATTTTAAGACAAGGACGCAACTGATTTATCATGTCTTACAACTTGATTTTTACCATTTTTCTTTTTTTGATAAATCATCAAGGAAGTGATTTTGTAGTTAAGTCAGTGAAATGAACAATGTTGGTGTAAAAAAGACAAGAATATATATATATAACATCAAATCCTATATATCAAGTTATCGGAAATGACTCTTTTCGAGAGAGCCAATCGAAAACTGACTGACTTATATGAAAAAAATAAAATTTATGTGTTCTTAAATATTCAAAAAAAAAATTTGTAGTACAAAAAATCTCCTAACTCTAACACAATAATAACAAGTTTCTGATATTTGCAATCATAACAAAAATATTTAAATGATCCGTCGCAACTTTTTTTTTTTTTTACATAGAGAGTGTCAGGAACCTTTTCATACCCCATATTTCATGTTCAACATACATAGAACATAGACATTGCGTGAACTTTCATTTCTAGATGCACATTATTGACGATGGAGTACAAAAAAAAACAACAAAATTTACTTGTTTAATATCTTTGTTTACTTTTTTCTGTTTACCCTTCATTATTTTTTTTTTGGTTTTTTCCTATTTATGCATAAACAGAAAAATTCTAGCTTATGAATATTTTTGTTATTACGATCCGTGACTCTACATGAAGATGGAATCAACAGCCAACCACAGCTTGGTTTCTCATACCTACTCACATAGTCACATTTTGGTTTTATTTCTTTCTTCTTCATTTTTTTTTTGACTAACCATTTATAAGAATACCAAAATATTACTAATTTTCTTAGATTACAATTTACAATAGTCTTTTTTCTTTACTATTTGTGCATAGAAAAGTTTTCAACTTATGAACATTTTTGTTATTTGTTCACGTAAACCCTATCTCACCGAGTGGAACGAAAATAAAATATTGATGGGCTGGAAACATGTTGTCAAAAATTTAAACAAAAGTGGCCTATACAGGGATCGAACCTGTGACCTTCGCGTTATTAGCACGACGCTCTAACCAACTGAGCTAATAGGCCATTTGTTATTGTTGTCAATATTTATCAATATATTAAAACAAAATGGCTTGGATCGTCAGTTCGATGGGCTTTGTTCATGCAATTGGGTTTGGATCTTAAGTATCCAAAGCCCTCCAAGCAAAAATTTCACGCACCTGAACAAAAACAATTTAACAACATATTTTGGTTGGTAACATGACGTTTCTTCTTCATTTCAATTTCAAGTTCTTATAAGAAGTATTTCAGTAACGTGTATATATAATGTATGAAGAGAAAGAGAGATCTGAAAATGAAATATAGAGGATTTTTGTGGTGCAAGTGCAACAAGAAAGATAGAATATTGAACGTGGTGGTTAGAAGATAGCGTCAACATAGATGCTAGATGCTGCGTATACATCACATTCATATGTGTACTTCTCTTCTATAGTTCTATGTGTTTTTTTTTCCCATTGCGATTGAATTTACTACTAAATAAACCTTGTGAAAAATGCGACAAATGTTTGTTTCTGTAAAATAATTAAAGAAAGTGATAGAAAGTTTCATAATTTAGTCTTAACTATACAAATCTCATCAGAAATTTACCTTTTCTACTATAATATTAACTTTCCAACATTTGTTTTACACAAAATTGTTACGGTTTAAAGTTTCATTTATGAAATTTTGATGTGTGTAGCTGTGTATGTATAGAATGGTGGGGCTAAAAGCTAATGATGTGTACATTAATTGGACATTTGATGTGGCTGGATTGGACCCAACTTGTTCTTTTGATAGAGACCTAACTAAGACACCTTTGCTCTTCATTCATTTCTCGGGTACCCATAATTGAATTTACTGTACATAATGTTTTAGCACAACCAATCTACTGTATATATATATTCTTAAATAATAGGGTTTGAGATTTTTATAAAACCAGTCTTCTAACATTAAAAAAAAAAAAAAAGAAGAATCAGATCTTCTAATAACTTTTTGGTTAGAAAATATTTTATGTTAATTAACTATTATACAATTTTCTTTTGATTTATTTTTAAACCCACTTGCAAAATTTGTTTGTCTCGATAAATATATTAGTTATTGCAAAAAAAAACTCACTTAGACAATATTTGCTAAAGTGATAATTGTAGATCATATGTTGTTGATTTTTTATTTTCTTTTGGCCTTTGGATGTTGAGTTTAACCAATATATTAAATATTTTAGCTAGCAAACTTACCTATAATTCACGTATATAAAAAGGGAAATTTTTTTTTGAGTCACCGTGATTCATATAGCAACCTCACAGGTCACAACTCTCGTGAATACAATGATACATTGATACTCGTTAAACGTTCTTGCCATCATTTGTTTTTCTTTCTTTTCTTGGACATCTTGAAAGAAGACTATTCTTGGGATCTGCTTCAAAACGACTATGTATGCTATTATGTGTTCTATCTTCTAAAAACCAATTCGAATGAACACTGAAGATAGAGATTGTTACGTCCTTCTAACGAGAAGTAAACAGTTTTAGTATTGGAAACAAATATATAGTGGATCATGGAATAATAAAATGAAATGGAGTAGCAAAGAAAGAAGAAGAGATATTTAATGAGAAGAGAAAAAGAAGGGTGGAGAAGTAACAAAGGCGAAGATAATGGATATTATTGGGATGTTGTCTTCAAGGCCACGAGCTTAGATTCTTTTAGTTTTGCTTAATTTGTTTTGTTTCTACTTTTCCTTTTGCTGCTTACTACTTTTGCTCATGATCTCCATTTACATATCATACATATATATGGTATACCATGGCCACTATCTTATAACTTGTGTATCTTTTCAAATCTCAGGACGTACATGTTTAAATTTGGTTATGTAACCACAACCATTTCAAGTATCTATGGTCATACCATACCAGATTTAATATAACTGCTATGAACCAAATACATATATGAAATCTATATAGTTCGGTTTTAAGATACACAATCTACACCTTTTTAAGCATAAATCATTGCCATGTACAGAAAATAAAATACTTTGGAATAGCTTTTCCTTTCATTAGGTTACGGTTTAAATGGTCTAATGCAATTTTCTAAATTTTGTATGATTGTCTTGATGAAATAATAATTACGTAAGCATTAGTTGGTAATTTATATGATAAATAAAATTGGACACGTGTAAAACACCTTACAAGAGAAGAGAGTGAGAAATGAAAATAAGAAAGAAACTTTTTAACAAGAACAATCAATCAATTAGTCTTCATATGGAGATATTTAAAGTAATCAACTAAAACAGGAACACTTGACAAACAAAGAAATTTAGAAATGTGGTCCAGCTTTAACTTAATTAGATTGTTATCTAAATGCTAATGTTACATATATCTGCCTTAAGCAAAAGGCCGGCTTTGTTTTTTTTTTTTTTTTCATTTGGATAGAAGCGAAAAGTTATTTTCTTACTACTGATCAAGATCTTAAAAGAGAACACTATTACAACTGAAATTATTGTAAAAACAAGTGATTAAGAAACTTGAACCAAGTTCTTTTCTTAATAACATCCCGGCACAAAGATTTGATGTTGTTTAACATCAAATAATGTATATATGGATAGTTATAAGGCGTTGTTACTTGTAAAGTACCACAAACTTGAGTTTAATTAGCAACATAATAAGAACATACTTAATTGATCTTTGCCCTGAATCCTGATCATGCATCTACAACTTAATTAGAACAGACAACATAGAACAAATCTTTACAGAACACTTTTTCGGGTTTGAATACTTACAATTATTCTCCTTCTTCCTTCTTCATCTCTTTCTCCTTAAATCCTGCGTACAAATCCGTCGATGCAATACATTACACAGTTGTCAATTGGTTTCTCACACAGCTCTACCAAAAACATCTATTGCCACAAAAAAAAGGTCTATTTGTACTACACTGTTACAGCTGAGAACATTAAATATATAAATAAACAAATTTGATGATAAAAACAAAGTGTTCTCACTTTTGTTACAAAAGAATAGTGTATAGGAAATTATAATAAAAGGAAAAAAATAAATAAAGATATTTTTGTTGGTTCAGATTATGTTTCGTATATCTACAGGGAGATCTCCGCCGTCAATGCAAAGCGAAGGTGACACTTGGGGAAGGACCAGTGGTCCGTACAATGTTACTTCTAACTCTGACCAGTGATCTCTTCACGAGACGTCGATAATCAAAAAAAATTATTTCATATTTTCTTTGTCCGAATAATTTAACAAATATATGGACCCGACAATAGTACAAAATTCACCAATGAGAAGTCGACACGCAAATCCTAAGGAAACCACTATGGTTTTTTTTGTAAACAAGAGAAACCAGCTTTAGCTTTTCCCTAAAACCACTCTTACCCAAATCTCTCCATAAATAAAGATCCCGAGGCTCAAACACAAGTCTATATTATAAAGGAAAGAAAGAAAAACTTTCCTAATTGGATCATACCAAAGTCTGAGCTCTTCTTTTGTATCTCTCTTGTAGTTTCTTCTTAGGGGTCTTGGGTTTGTTTGGTTCTTTTAGAGTAAGAAGTTTCTTTAAAAGGGATTAAAAAATATGGGAAGGGGTAGGGTTCAATTGAAGAGGATAGAGAACAAGATCAATAGACAAGTGACATTCTCGAAAAGAAGAGCTGGTCTTTTGAAGAAAGCTCATGAGATCTCTGTTCTCTGTGATGCTGAAGTTGCCCTTGTTGTCTTCTCCCATAAGGGGAAACTCTTCGAATACTCTACTGATTCTTGGTAACTTCAATTACTTCTTTCCCTTTTTAAAACAAATCTTTAATATCTTTTTTTTTGTTTACCCCTTAAGTTGGCACACTATACTTGATTTGCCCTAATTATTACCTACTGCTTTTTGTTTATGTATTTTCTAGGGCTTCAAATCAGATTTGGAAATGATTAATTACTCAGATAATAATGTTTAATACTTGCACACTATACTTGATTTGCCCTATTTATTACCTACTGCTTTTTGTTTATGTATTTTCTAGGGCTTCAAATCAGATTTGGAAATGATTAATTACTCAGATAATAATGTTTAATACTAACTTCTTTGTAGTTGTATAAATCAAGGATCAAAAGTTTATAAGGCCGGGAGTGAAGTAATTAATTAAACCCTAGCTAGAAACTATAGGAGTTACATTTGATATTTATGTGCTTATGCATAATTTCCTCAAATTTGAGAGCATGTAGAAGGATGTATCTCTAATCTTTAATGAGCTAGGGTTTTTAAGCCTTGAACTCATTATAAATATTTTGTTCTCCTTTTTTCAAAAATTTACAGATCTAAGTTTTATTTGATGTTTGTATATTAAGTTATGAAAATGTTTATATATTAGTATCGTCCCTCGCTCTTAGGTATATGAATACGAGTACTAGATGTAATATTTTTTTTATTTTTTCAACGTAATGTTGTTATTTTTCATATCAATGGATTTCACGACTAAACGAAAATAACGAGGAAAAAAACAACTTAACTAGTGTAGAAAAAAATATAAACATATTATATATATATAGTGTAAAAATAATAATATATATATACTATTTACGAACTATAATTTTTTCAGTCATAAATGGATTATGAATATTTTGTTAATTCATTCTGACGGATGTGTCTTCAACATTTTTATGCAAATCTAAGCTAAGAAAATGTTTGATTTCATGGTCGGCGCTAAGGAATATGTAATCTAGTAATATAAAAATATATAACTATCAAAACATAATGTTGCTTCTTTTTTTTGTTTGAATAAGAAATCTTAAAACTGAAAAAAAAGATGTCAAATCTGAGTAGAGAGTCTTTGACCTCTGGGGATCCATAAAAAGAACTAACTCAATCCTAAAATCGGCTTCATACCGATGGTCATACTTAGCTTCAACAGGCAACAGCTGTTCTACTTTCTTTTATTAATAAATATTATTATTGTTCTGAAGAAAATGATATTGGTAATTGACCAGATTATAATATTGTACAGTAATATATCTTCTAACAATAATTTTCTGTACATAATTATAACAAATATAAAGAAACCTCAGTTAGGATTCGAAGTTAAAGGCATAGGGTTACTGGTACATGATTTGATATAGGAAACCTTGGTATAACGCATAAAACCATCATTACCTAGTTAGATTTACCCACAAAACGCATGGAAACACGAGCATTTAAGTAATTGATGGCATATATGAAGCTAGCCCTAATTAGATCTGTGGATTGAACAGTATGGAGAAGATACTTGAACGCTACGAGAGGTACTCTTACGCCGAGAGACAGCTTATTGCACCTGAGTCCGACGTCAATGTATATCAATATCTCTCCTTTTAACTCACATAAATATTTCAGAAAATCAATCTATATGTTGTATTGATGAAGTCTATTTGTATAAAATTGTTGATAAACAGACGAACTGGTCGATGGAGTATAACAGGCTTAAGGCTAAGATTGAGCTTTTGGAGAGAAACCAGAGGTACACACTTACACTCATCACATTTTATATAAAAGGAATTGGTAACATTAATGTAAGTTAAAATGCATGGACGCTTTGGAAATTCAGGCATTATCTTGGGGAAGACTTGCAAGCAATGAGCCCAAAGGAACTTCAGAATTTGGAGCAGCAGCTTGACACTGCTCTTAAGCACATCCGCTCCAGAAAAGTATTCCCCTTCTCCTTTTTAGTTGAACATATCTATATAACTTACATTTACAATAGTGTTATTATGTGAATATATTCACATGCATATATGTGGAGAAAATTGTTGTTAGTTCAATATATGGAAACTTAGCTATGATCAATCATTATCAATTGATTAATGCCTAGAGGTTGATTCAAATGTATGAATTAATTAAGTTATGTGTAAGATTCAGAGTACTCAAAGTAATGGTTTTGTTAATGATATCTATGTGTATACAGAACCAACTTATGTACGAGTCCATCAATGATCTCCAAAGAAAGGTATGTAAAAACAACCCTATATCAAATGTATGTCTTATAGAGAAACTGCGTGTAAGAAACGTATAAGGAAGCTGACATTCGTGCCGTGTCTGAAATGACAGGAGAAAGCCATACAGGAGCAAAACAGCATGCTTTCCAAACAGGTAACACCTGTCATCATTTATCTTTCATCAACATGTTGTCCCATTGCATTACTGTTACCTTCCACTGTTCTACTCCACACTTCCAGCCAAGCTATACCTACGAGATCTTCATATCTCCAGTTAACTTCGGCACCATTAAAGAATAAATAAAAAATGTTTGTAGTTTATTTATATAAGCATAGATGTTCTCTACTGATTGATATAATTATCAGCCTGTACGTAGATGGCCTTTGTCCGTTTAGTTTTAAGGTTGTCTCTTGGATTGAAAATATACATTTCAACTTTGAAATGTCGTCCCATCATTCTACTCACGTCATCTATATATATATAATTTATGTGCATATAGTTTCTACTCCTAATTGATCAATATATATATACATTATATATATATATATATTGTAACTGTGCAAATATAAGTATATTGTAACTGTGCACATATAAGTATATATATATATAAGTTTTTGCATGAGCTAGGTGTAACTGTGCAAAGAAATATTTGTAAATTGAGATGTAACGTAACTATCTTTGGTCATCTATGTATGTGAATATAGACACTACTTCAATTTTTTTCTTTAAAAAAATATACTTATATGAGAGTATGTTGTTTTTTTTGGAAAGAGGTTATATAAGAGTTCATTACATGAGTGCAACAGTGTAGAGAATTCATGCAATGTAATAACTGTTATTTTGGTTGAATATATTTTTACATAAATTCAAAAAAAAAAAAAAAAAGTGCAAGAACTATTTGTAAATTGAGATGTAATGTTATATACTATCTTTGGAAATTGATGATCATTGTATATTATGGAATAAAAGTGGTAACAAATTGGTGGTGTAAACCTGAAAATTGGCAGATTAAGGAGAGGGAAAAGATTCTTAGGGCTCAACAAGAGCAGTGGGATCAGCAGAATAATGGCCACAATGTGCCTCCTCCTCCACCACCGCAGCAACACCAAATCCAGCATCCTTACATGCTCTCTCATCAGCCATCTCCTTTTCTCAACATGGGGTAACTAAAATTTACTAATTCTCTCTTGTTTTCAAGTATACACATTTAACCATGCATGCTATGCAAGCTAGTTAATTAGGTGTTGTAATTCCGTTGAATCTTTTTTGGTGTTAGTCATGATGGTTAAGAAGTTTAAGTTGTGAATTAGATATACCATGATCTTGAATTTAGAACTTTACTCAGAAACATTCATTTATAAACACACGAAGGTTAATGTTTTGGTGGCCATACGGCCAAACATATAGCATGAGGAAAAGGTAGATGTAATGGTTGTAAAAAGCCTAAGAAACATGTTTGTTGTTGTTGGATTATGTGTTTATATAATAGCATATGAGTTTGCTAGAGAACTTATCTCTTTTACATTTCAAAGTGGACCTAGATTATAATTTTCTTATTGTAACGATGAAACACATATATGAAATTTAATTTTATGCACTTTCATATATATCATCTTTACGGTATAATTGTGAATGCAGTGGTCTATACCAAGAAGAAGATCCAATGGCAATGAGGAGAAACGATCTCGATCTGTCTCTTGAACCTGTTTACAACTGCAACCTTGGCTGCTTCGCTGCATGAAGCATTTTCAGAAATATAATTAATAATCGTGATCGTGAACAATAAAAACAATTAGCCACACACATATAAATTAGTGGCTAGGCTCTTTTCGTCCCAACTAATTAATATATTTTGGCAAGTCCCATGTTCTTATATATCATCGTCATCATATATATATATATATATATATATATATAAATTAGCTAGCTAGCTCCTTTTCTTTGTAATTTTCTAAGTTTTTCTTTTTGCTTCAGTATGGAGCAAAATTGTAATATATTTGATTGAAGGTTGGAGAGAACGAACGAGAACTTTTATTGATTGGACCTCTTTTTTTTTTTTTTTTTTTTTTTGAACAAACGATCGGACCACTTTTTAATTTTGAACTCTTGTTGCATAAAACTAAAACTGATTGGGCCTTATAAACCCATTTTGTTGCTTAGGGCCTAATTTGGACAAGGAGAGATATTGGCTTAGAAAAGCCCAGAATTTGCTACTAACCGAGTTGTGGACGAACCAGTATCTCCGGTTTAGACTTTAGTCAAGAAAGAACAAGAAACCAAAAAACTGCGTTATGTGAACCACATCTACGAGTTTATGTGATGCAAATATTATGCAAAAGAATAAATATTACAAAATAATTTATTATGCAAATATAACAAAATAAGAGGTTATAACCCAAATAAGAGGTTATGCAACTTATTTGAAATATTAGATGAATTTTTTTAAGTTGATTAAATTATGATTATATATAAAAATAACAAATTTTCATGTAGTATTCCACATGCTAAATCATAGAATTAACAATCACAATTGTAAAATCTTAAATACTAAACAAAATTAAAAGACAAATAAAACATAATTTTTTTTAAAATTTAATTACAATTTTTTTTCACGAGTTAAGTAATATGATTATCAATCGAAATACACTTACACAATCTTAAACACTAAAAAAACAAAATTAACAAATATAATTTAAATATAAAAAATTTCTACTTTTCAGTTTCCAGTAAATTTCCTTTTCCCGATAAGCATCACCAAGTTTCTATTTCAAAAATAATAAGGCATCCTACGAGAATTGCTCGTTCTTAGTTGCCTTATCAATATGGGTTTGGAGATTTTGGATGAGTTTTTGAGAATTGGTAACATGTAATTTCTTCTATTTGGAGATCAAGTTTCTACAGTTTATAATTCTGCGAGAAAAAAACCCTTCTATGCAAGGCATAGAGAAATTTTGAACCCAAAAACCAAAAAAAAAAAAAAAAAAAAAAAAGTCTCTAACTAGCAACCACATGGTATAGACAAAATTGCCACATATGTTTCAAATTTTGGATTGAAGACCATCGTTCAACAAGAATACTACTCAATTTGTCCTCTTTGCTCCCACCTGAGGATATATATATCTCTTATCGTTAGTTACTCCACATGCTCTGTAATTTCGTCAGCCTTCAAGAAAATCATTGTCTGTGAAATCACAAACATATAAACCAAACTATTACTTTCCAGAAACAAATATGGTCATAAGAAATTGATAGACACAACCACAAATATGTGTTGAGATTTATTAGAAATTTAATTTTAACCTTGGAACAAAAGGGACAAGATTCACTTCTCTCCATCCATTCATAGATGCATGCCAGGTGAAATATATGTCCACATTGCAACACTATCTTTGGGTTCTCCTCTATGTACTCTGTCTCCAGTTACAATAGGAATTGAATTATTAACACATACTCACTCAAAACCGTATTTTTTGTGGAGTATATAATTTCAAAGTTTTTATAATTCTTTGCTTTACCATAGAAACATGTCGGGCAAACGTCTTCTTCGTCAGCGACATAGGAGATTTCTCCTCTTTCTAGGCTTTGAAATAGCTGCTCAAACTGCATAAAAACGAAAGTGTAAAGCTAGCTCTTCATTAGTTATTGGGAGAACAAAAGAAAGGAAATTAGGGTTTTAAAAAATGTGGAGATACCTTGGGGGAAAAGTTATTCGTTATTGGGTTAGTGAAGCCTCTGATTCTTGGTACGTTTCGAGATTCACCAACATGCTCCGGAATTCGAAAACAACAAAGTAGTATACCCATTGATCTGGATCAATAAGTCAATGTAGAAAAAAACACAAGATTTGAGTTCATCAAGACAGATGAACACAAGAAACATTGATTAATGTGTGTTCTGTTCTCATACCTTTGGATCGATCTATTGAAACTCAGAGAAAGGGAGAGAAGAAAGAAGAAAGAATACAATTAAGCATGAGAAAAAAAGCAACAAACTTAAGCTTTGGTCCGCAATCGCAGCCAAGTAAGATTCTTTGGAGAGCAACACAAGGAAACGTGGAGATTTTGTGGGATACTTTATCTACGTGGCATACCAAAGTTTAAGAAGTTTGACTCTTTTTTCGAATGTGGACTTTAGACCGGTTTACAAATTCCACTACTTTCCTTTTATTGTATCTGCTACTATAAAATATTTATGTATAATATTCTTAAATTCTTAAGTAAAAATGTGTAATCAATATAGAAAACTTGTGCTTCTTTCCACCCCAAAAAAAGAAGTAAAAATATGTGCTTCTTCGCATACAAGGAAGGAAAATTTATAGTTATTGGTTAAGAAAGGAAAAATGAAAAATATAATTATGGTGATTACACTTTCCCGATATCATTCCAAATTCATTTAATTACAAAACCAAGTTAGAGATTTTTCTTTTTTTTTGAAACAACAAAACTTACTTTTTTATTGGTTAATTAAGTGTAGCTGTGTAGGTGATTTATATTTTATAATGCAATTAAACCATACACCGAACAAGACATTTCTGTGATAAGCATTACGAACTTTTTTGATTGGTTAATTAAAGATCAGTTATGACTATTCTTCTGCTTTATGTAAAAAATTGTAATCATGTTACATATATCACATGGCCCGTAACATATTATCGGTTGGCAGGAATTAGTGTTGTGGACCTACGGCTTGATGATGAACATGATGAAGGGAGAAGAGAAGGGCCAACACTAGTTCGATGTTTAGTAATAATACAAAAGAGTTGAGACATCATTATTCATACTCAAAGGCAATACAACAGTATCAAAGTGAATAGAAAAATCGAAGTGTGGATACAAAAGTATCAACTAAAATAGACATCATTATTCACCCACAATTACATAATATCTTACGTAAATATTGATTAATCTATGGTGTGCCCAAAGTCATTGCAAAATTCACAACAATTTTATAGGCCATGCATGAGATTGTGGATGTTAATGTCGGTGCAATACACAAAATGTACACAATTAGCAATATTTTAAAGCGCAGACGCGTCTAAAGGGGAGCTACCAAAAGCAAGGATAATAATCTCCTCATTAAATAAAATTGTGGCTACTACTAATTAACTAGACTTGGGGAGAAACTAAGTATTGCGCATCAGCGCATATAAAATTAAAAAGTGTGGGGGGGCTACCAAAAGCAATATCATAATTACTCATTATTCTCTAGCTCTTATAATCTCATTTGCTTTCTCCACCATCTTATATCATCTTATTGTCCAACTCCATTGAGAAAGAGAGCTAAAGAGAGAGAAAGGATGGGGAAGAAAGGAGATGGGTTCTTTCGAAGCAGATTAAGGGCTAATGTGAGAGTTCAACCACCGACGAATACGAGCCAGCATGGCTGCAGCCACGAGCCGCCAAGCTCATCCACAGAGATAAAAGGAAGAAGAATAATGGTTGTGGTTGATTCTTGCTCGGAGGCTAAGAACGCTCTTCTTTGGACTCTCTCGCATTGTGCACAGCCTCAAGATTACATTCTTCTTCTTTACTTTCTCAAAGCTAAACCTTCTCATTCAGGTCAATTCTCTCTTTCTTCATATTTTCTTACAAAATGTTTCTTATTGATTTTAACATAAATATGTTTTGGTCTGATCTAGGTGCTCTAGCTACCCAAAAAGTATTAGTAGAAGAAGAAGAAGAATCTTGTGACAAACCCACAACGTCAAGAGCTAATAAAAAAGTTTTAGCCTTGAAAAACATTTGTGAGCTTAAAAGACCTGAGGTTCGTTCGTAATTATGTTACATTCCATTTTGCACAACAGAGATCATTAGATTTGTCAATTGTCATACAATGTTGATCATGAATACTTCATTCTACCATAGTATATATATCCCTTTAACTAGGTATCCAATTTCACCATAAATAGACACTTTTTCTTACTTTTGATATTTAGAAAGAAACCAAACAATAATTAGTTGGAATTAGGTAAAGACAGAAGTGGTGGTTGTAAAAGGTGACGACAAGGGGCCGACCATAGTGAAAGAAGCAAAAGAACGAGAGGCGTCTTTACTGGTCCTTGGCCAGAAGAAACAGCACGCTACGTGGCGGCTACTAATGGTATGGGCATCGCAGTCCCGACCAGTGACGTCCAAACACGACTTCGTGGAGTATTGCATCAACAACTCTCCTTGTATGGCCATTGCGGTCCGTAAGAGAAGCAAGAAGCTTGGTGGATACACTCTTACAACTAAGCGCCACAGAGATTTCTGGCTTTTGGCATGATCATTATTAGTACTTAATTATTATTCACACCTAAGTTAGTATAACCTTTCCTGTTTTTACTTTAAATCATGGCTTTGGTTTGTGGATTTGTGGGTGCAATTATTGTAAGAGTTTACTTCTTTCCAATGTATTTGTTTTTTTTTTAATGTAAAAATTTTCAAGGTTGGGATTTCTTAGTGTCACTATATTGTTTAAGAGTGTTAAGCCGGTAGTCAATTATTATTTGATTTAGGCATGACCAAAATCTAAACCGTAACTGTATTTTGGAGTGTAACTAGACCGTTTCTCAATCGTAATATAAAAAGTTAAAAACCGTAACTGTATCAAAACTGTTAGTATGGTTAAATGTATAATTAACCATGATCGTACGGTTAATTAAACGACGGGGATGGTTGATGCCACAATCTGTAATTGTCCTAGACAATGTCTAGTGAACCTTCAGTACATTAGTGAGTTTTGTGTTTTATTTCGTCAGCAAGGAAATCAAATTGGGCCTTAAATCAAATTATGGGCTTTTGGGTCAAATTGTACCCGACCCGCCAAACCGCTGCTTCTTCTTCTTCTTCTTCATCTACTTCTAGTCTGAGCTATTCGTGTTAGGTCAAAAACAAAACCCCCAAAACCCTTGTTCATTTACTGTAATTCGTAAACCCTAGCCACCACCGTCGTCATCGCCGCCGCCTGAGGGAAAAAATCATGGGGAAAGATAACAAAGCGAAGAAGAAGCCTAATAAAAAAGGCGAAAGAAGAACAGGACCAGATGCAGTCGCCATGAAAGCCAAGGCGCAAAAAGCAAAAAATCCATTTGAATCATTCACTTCTCGCCAGAAGTTCGAAATCCTCGGAAAGAAGCGTAAAGGTGAAGAGCGTCGCGTCAGTATATCTCGAACTCTTGCTGTTGATAAGAGGAAGAACACATTGGAGAAAGAGTATGAGCGGAGTTTGAAAGCTACAGTTTTTTTGGATAAGCGTATTGGAGAACAAGACGATGAGCTTGGGGAGTTTGATAAGGGTATAATTAGATCGCAAAGAGAGCGTCAGGTTCGTTGTTTGATTAGAACAAAACACATTAAAAATTAAAACTTGCGAATCAAAAACTGAATTTTTCTGTGTGTCTTTCTCTTATTGTAATTGTAGTTGAAACTGGCTAAGAAGAGCATGTATAATTTGTCTGATGGGGAAGAAGATATTTATGAAGATGGTGCTCTTGGTGGTTCTTCTGTAAGGGATGATTTTGATTCTGGACTTTTGTCAGATGAAGATCTTGAAGCTTCTGAATCAAAGAGTATGTTTTCCTGACAACACTTTTGATAGTGCCCTCTTATATTGAATTTTACATATGCTAGTGCAGAAGATTGAACTGTTTGCTAAATATTAATTTGGCATTTTAACAAGTTTGTATTATCATGAAGTGCTGCTTCTTCAACTTCTATTGTGTCTTTTAACCATGACAAAACTAATATTGTCTAAACCTGTCTCTGGCACAGGGATGAAGCATCTGAACAGAAACAAACAGCTTGACGCATCCGAAGAGGAAGTGGTAAGAACAAATCTCTTAGATGTCTGGGTGCAATTTACCTTGGGTGCAATTTACCTGAGGTTAACACATAATGTCTTACTGGTATTCTTGGAATCTCTCTACAGAGGCATAAGAGCAAGAAGGAAGTCATGGAAGAGATCATCATGAAGAGCAAACTTGGCAGGGTGATTATTCCACTGTTTTCCTTGTATCTTCTTTTGCATGGCTGTCAATTTGCAGTCGGTAATTTGTTTATATTGTGGTCTCTAGATGGAGAAAGCTAAGCAAAAGGAGGAAAAAGAAAAACTAATGGATGAGCTGGATAAAAACTTCCAGTCCTTGGTGAATTCTCAGGCGATGGAGAGTTTAACTAAGCCTTTTGAAGTCGAAGAGGTTGTTTAAATACTTAGCATATGTATCCATATGGTTGTTATCAGGCTTCTTTGTTCATGATTTTTCTTTTGCGTGATGTAATCCTTTTGTCTGCAGATAAAAGACGATTCTTATATACACATTCTAACTGAGATGTCAATGGATATTCGTGCTCGTCCTTCTGAGAGGACAAAGACACCTGAAGAAATAGCTCAGAAAGAGCGAGAAAAGTTAGAGGCTCTTGAGGTATGTTTCTGTCAAAAGCCATTGCAGTTTTACATTCTTACTGTTACAAAATGTTATAGTTGAACCACTATAAAGAAGGGTCTTATGGTTGACATCATTTAATATTGATACAATTTTTCTAAACTCTTAGGAAGAGCGGAAGAAAAGGATGCAGGAAACTGAGGAGTTGAGCGATGGGGATGAGGAAACTGGCGGTGAGGAATCAACAAAGAGGAGCGTAATTTCTGGGGACGATCTTGGGGATTCCTTCTCAGTGGAAGAAAAGCAGCCAAAAAGAGGATGGATTGATGATGTTCTTGAAAGAAAGGACGATGTTGATAATTCAGAAAGTGATGAGAATGATGGTTCTTCTGAAGATTCAGAAAGTGAAGAAGAAGAAGAAGATGATGATTGTGAGTCAGATGGGGGTAATGAGAAGCAGAGAAAAGGTCATCATTTAGAAGACTGGGAACAAAGTGATGATGAGCTAGGGGATGAGCTGGAAGATGAAGATGATGATGATGATGATGATGATGAAGAAAAAGAAGTGGAGCCAAGGGTGCATAAAAAGTTGAAGAATGACGGTCAGTGTAAAGGAGAAGGGTTGTCTGGAACAGCAAAACAAGAAACTAATATGAGGAAATTGAGTTCCACGCAGCGTGATATTCCTTTCATGATTGATGCTCCAAAGAATTATGAGGAATTGGTTGCTCTAGTGGAAGATTGTTCAAATGCAGATGTTATTTTAATAGTTAACCGAATCCGGGTAGCACACTCGATTAAAATTAAAGCTGAAAACCGGAAAAAAATGCAGGTAAGATTTAATTTTACTTTCAAAGATCTAACTGTTTGCAATTTTCTTGGCCCTTGAACTGGTTCATTCCTCAATTTCTTTCTTGGCTGTTTGTTGTTGTCTACCACCCAGGTCTTCTATGGTATTCTCTTGCAGTATTTTGCTGTTCTTACAAGCAAGCAGCCCTTGAACTATGATTTACTAAATATGCTTGTCAAACCTTTGATTGAGATGAGCATGGAGATCCCCTACTTTGCTGCAATATGTGCTCGTCAGCGGCTTTTAAAGACCCGTGCACAATTTTGCGAGGCTATAAAGAATCCTGGTTTGTGATGCTTCCATAACCTTAAGTTTTAGTGTCCTTTAAGATACATGTCTATTTTTTTTTCTACGCTAACCAGTTCAGAAACATTCTATCAGATGATGGATGCTGGCCATCCTTGAAAACATTGTTTCTCTTGCGCCTCTGGTCCATGATTTTTCCGTGCTCTGACTTTCGCCATGCTGTGATGACCCCATCGATATTGTTGATGTGTGAATATCTCATGCGCTGTCCGATCTCCTCTGGTCGTGATATTGCCATAGGTTCCTTTTTATGTTCCATTGTTCTCTTGGTAAGGAGAGATTGATCCCCACCCTTTTTCATTTGCAGTTTTTATTTTCATTTTCTCATTCAAGCAAAAATGTACTGCAGGTTGCTAAACAATCTAAAAAGTTCTGTCCTGAAGCTATATTATTTATCCGGACTCTCCTGATGGCGGCTTCAGACAAAAAGTCACCATCATCTGAAGAATCTGAGGTACAGCAAATAAAAAGACTTCGTTTTATATTGTGCTTATGATCTAAATTTATAGAAGTTCAGTACTGCACCTAAGAATTGAAGACACGTATAGGCAACTGTTATCACTGGGCTGATGAGCGTATATCGTGTTACAGTTTTACCATTTCATGGAATTGAAATCGCTGACTCCACTGCTGTGCATACAAGACAACGTGAAGGAGGTATTGCCTTTAAACTTCCTAAAGATAATGGATGAGCCAGCAGACTCTCCATATTTCAGCTCTGATGATTTCAGGTATGTTCTCTCTTCGGAAATAAATTTTTCATTTTAAGACATCACGCCAGCAAAGTTCTGTATAGTAATACTTTTGGGTTTTTTTCAACAGAGCAAGCATTCTTTCAAGTATATGTGAGACTCTTAGAGGGTTTGTGGAGATAAACAAAGGATTGAGTTCCTTTCCAGAGATCTTCATGCCCATCTCAACTTTATTAAACCAAATTGGGAACCAAGAAAAGATCCCACAATCTCTCAAGGAGAAATTAGAGGATGTCGCAAATCTAATCCAAAAGAAAACCGACGAGCATCACAAGGAACGCAAACCGCTCTCTATACGCAAGCTTAAGCCAGTAGCCATCAGAATGGTCAATCCCAAATTTGAAGAGAAGTAAGTCTCTCGCCCCACAAATTCATTCACTCTTAGTTAATACTTGCAGAGACCACATGGGATGATCTCTATAACGGTGTTCATATGTTTGTTGTGCAGCTTTGTTCAAGGCAGGGATTATGATCCAGACAAGTACCGTTCTGACCTCAAGAAGTTGAAGAGAAAGTTGAAACAGGAAGCCAAAGGAGCAATACGTGAGCTGCGCAAAGACAATGAGTTCATGAGCACGGTCAAAGCAAAAGAGAAGGCTGTGCATGAGCAAGAGAGAGCAGAGAAACATGGCAGAAATTGGGCTTTTCTTCAAGAACAAGAGCATGCTTTCAAATCTGGACAACTTGGTAAAGGCAAAGGCAAGAAGAGAAGACGGTAATACCATTGTCACTGTGTTCTATATTTTTTTCCTTTTCGATTCTGTCAGCACAATTTTGATTCTTGTTGGATAATCAAAAACTTATTTACAGAGAAAATTATCCATTCTAAGATTTTCCTAACAACAATCTTCATACTGTTAGCTCTTAAATTTGTCCTTCATGCGAGCAATAAGCTTGAATTTTTCTTCTGCTTCAACTTGCTGTTTGATGTCACCTCTTGACGCTCTGTCCGGATGAAATTTCAATACAGCTCGTTTGTACGCTGCGTGTACCTAAATTTTACAATTGGTTTCAATTATATCATGATTAACATATATAACTGTAAAGATGGGCGTTAACATATATATAACTGTAAAGATAGATGTTGGGCTAACCTCATCTGGCAGAGGAGATATTCCACCACCAACATGAATCCCTAAGCCTCGAAGCAACGATGTCATGTTAAAGCTCCCGAGTTCTAGCTGTTTAAGTGATTTGTTTATTTCTGCACGGACTTTCTCCCTCATGTTCATGCTTTCTTCATCCTGTGATTTGGAGTTGGAAAACCAAAATATGTATTAGCAGCGAATCAACGCATTATTCAGAGCAACCACTGAGGAAGAGTAGAAAACCTTCTTCTGTGTCTCTCTCACTTCCTCTACTCTCTCCTTTTGCCTTCTTTCCATCTCCAACTGTCGTGTGTTCTCTAACTTTCTTCTCTTACGCAGCTTCTGAGCTTCTTCTGCCTGTAATAGGCACAATATAATTCAGCAGACAAAAACTATGTTCTTTGAAGGTGAAAGAAACACTGAAGTCTATATATTCACCAGTGGCAATGTTCAGAAATTTGAGCAGAGTGTGATCAAACCTGTATCTGTAACTGTCGTTGCCTGGACTCCCATTCTTCTTCTTGTGCTTTCTTGTATTCATCAGTCTCCTTAAGAATTTCTCTGTTGAGCATGACATCGATTGCAGGAGCTTTACCATTACTACTTTGTACTTGCCCACTTGTAGATGGAATAGGATCAATGATCGGTTCTCTTGATTTATCTAAACTGGAGTTCTCGTGCTCACACCTGGCTCCATTACTTTGGGTGCCATACACATGCGTTGTATCTCCATCCCCATCAGAAGTCTGTGAAGTTTCACATTGAACTTGCACGTTGTTTGGCTGTTCTACAACTTTTTTGAAACTAGTTTGATCTATCGGTTCTTTTGATGAAGAAAAATGACTTGATGGTGTATCAGACTTTGCATGTTCAACTCTTATTTCCGGTGACAGTGGGAATGGTCCCCGAAAATCCTCTTTATTGGAAAAACTAGAATTAGCATGGTTTTTAGCTCGATTGTCTTCCTCCACCGAGCCAAAGTCAGACGCCAAATCAGGAATTCTACCATCGAAATTAGTGTCAAAGTGAAGATTTGAAGAACCAGCCTCACTCGGGCCAACTTTTCCACCATCTGGATTTCTTGCAGCAAAGAAGAAAGATGTTTGATCATGTTTTCCAGTGTCACAGTGAAGATTTGAAGGACCAGTCTCATCACTCAGACCAGCTTTTTCACCATCTGGATTCTGCAGCAAAGAAGGAAGATGTTTGATCGTTTTTTTCAGTGTCACAGTGGAGATTTGAAGGACCAGCCTCTTCACTGAGACCAGCTTTACCTGCTCTCTTCATTTTTCTCAAGAAAGCTGCTTGTTCCCACTGCTCGCGGACCTCTCTACGAGACCCTTCTAGAATCTCACAATCAGAACAATCGCTATCGGAAAAGTCACTGTCAGTATCAGAACCTAAACCAAATCGAAATCCAGAAGAAGGCATTGTAGAGAAAGTCTGTTTGCATTTTGAAAATCTAAAAGCAGCACACTTTTCTTGAATGAATTGGCAATCATCATTATCCACTTCCGCAGATGTTTGCAAGTTAGTGGCAGGAGGGTTACTGCTTGAACTAATCCCAGCATTATGAACATTTTCTGTCTCATCACCAACATCATCATCGTCATCATCGTCAATGCTAATCACTCTCTGCAAAATGGACTTATTCCCAGTTCTTGATGTGCCAGAAACCTTGCTTTTCGATGACTCAGGAAAATCAAGAATGATAACCTCATCATCATCAACCACAATAAACTCCTCCACTATACCATTTGCACTGCATCTCTTCGTTGGCATTCTATTCCAAGAACGTGATCTAATCTGACGATTCTCTCCCATTGCTTCCTTATGCTGCTGCGCATACGTAGAACGCATGAACTAAGTACCAAGGGTTCAAAGCATCCGTTTTGAAGAGTATTCAGAGTTGGAGTTGCAAGTATCCATATAGCTAAACCACCTATAAGCAGAGAAGATGCAAATTACTCATCATTACAACTACTTAAAAACGAGATTCTTAATTCCTACAAAATACTTAATTAGGTAACAAACTCAAACAATGGACTTTGATAAAACTATTCACTACACACGCTACTAAACCTAGAAACGATCATATGTCTCAATCTGAAAGAAGTTAAATTGAAATCTACCAAATCAGAAACATCAATTTGAAAACCTTATCGTAATTGCATCGAACAAAGAAGGGAAACTGAATCAATTCGAAATTTTGAAAACGACCCACGAATTCAAGGATCGAACTGAGCAAAGATTTGAAGAGACAATCGAACTAACCTTTCGAGTTACATACACCCGACGGAGTCTTGTTGCTTGAAAACTGAACCCTAATTTTTGGGTCTCAGAAACCACAAAATCGAATAAAAACGAAGTTAAGGAGAAAAGAAGAAGATGAGAAGATGGAGCGGCTCGTGCCGTGTACCTCAGGAGACGTGGCCTAAACGAATGAGAGAAATGGGTTTCGTTCTTTGATTGGTCTGTTTTTGATTTAGCTTGAAACTCATGTCATTCTATACATGTGTCTCTCTATCTCTCTCTCTGGTGTATTAATGTTCTCTTACCTTATCTTTGTGACTTTTAGATTCTATAAAAGTTTTCTATTTTGTTTTTCTTATGAATATGGTAGGTTGTTTGGAATTTATAATTGGAATTTGTAAAAGGAAATTATGTAAATCAATGTGAAATTTAAATTTAGAAGGAATTTATCCAATCTTTGATTTGGAAATTTTTATTGATTTTGAAATACATATAGATTTTGAATAAATGTTTTACCCAAAAATTGGAATGTTTCTAATTTTCATTTCTAAATCCACTCAAATCCATTTTAAATATAGCAATGATTTTGAAATCCAAAAATAAGTCACTAATATATTTTCTTAAGTTTTAACATATGATTTTAACTAGTAGTTCATAAATCATATAACCAATAACATATAATTTTAATAAATAACTTAAACTAAAAAATTGAATAATAAAAAAAATTGTTTGGATTTTGAAATCCACTAAAATTCATGATTGAATAAACCCACTTTAATACTCGAAGTTGTTTTTATTCTCACTAATAAATCGTCAATAATTTTATTTTCTTTAGTCATAAATTCATCTTTTCCTTATTTCAATCAACTATAATGTAGTAACTTCGTGTAGATTTTTTTAAATAGATATTTTTGAATCGTCAATAATTTGATATATATAACCTAACTCTAATTATTTCTTTACATATTCATTTGGATGAATTTCATCGTTGAAATGTTTTTTTTTTTTTTTTTTGTTAAACGTTGAAATGTTTGTCACGATATTGTATTGACTTATAATAAGAAAATAGAAAGTCAAATATTACCATGTAAAACTTGTTTACATGAGGCAATATTGAAAATATTCATATAATCTTTGCGCGAATCAGAACTCTTTTGTGTCGTGACACTCCATTTCATACGTACATGTTTAACATATGCTTATATTACACATACTGCCATTATGTTCATAATTGTTCATATTGTCACGTCGACTTTAATATATAGCTTATATTTCAGTCAATTATATGAATGATCTCATCATATGGAAATTCTGATTCAGAAAATAAAATTATTTGTGATCCACTAGTTGTTTGATTAGATCATCGACTACAGTCGCCTATAACTGAAAAATATGGAGTTGTTATTACGACATTTTACACATCTCCATTTAGTAGTTGTGTGGATTAATCACATATTCACATGTGAATTGATATGAGGAATGAGAATTATCATAGCTAGAAAAAGCGAATAATACACATATTTTCATGTTGACTTTCAGTGTTTCACTGCATCACTATGTAACTAGTCGTTTTAGGAATTACACGGTGAACTTTCAAAGTAACATGATATACACAAAGGGTCTCATGTTTCATATGCGAGTGAAAAATTGGATTCACACATTGTTAAATATCTCTAATATTGTCACAATTATATGTAACCGGAAACCCTTTTTGAGTGTGAGACCGAATTTACCATGTCTTGTGCGTGCGCATATATATCATGGCCATTAAGATTTATATCAGACTCATCGCATATGTAATTTGAGACTGTAAATTGTAATTGTAATATACGCATGAGGGTAGACTAGAGACAATCTGATGGCTCTTAATCTTATCATCTTATCCCAAACGAGAATGATGAATTTGGTAAAATCCAACTCACTAACAATTTCATATAAAAATATGGTTTTCTTCTTTAAAGATAACATATGGTAAACTTTTTCTTCATTATTCCACATATGATATAGTATTTTCTGGACCAATTACAATGCTATTTGCCTATTGGACCAAATTAAGTATGTTGGCTTGAGGTGCACAAACTAACTCCTTCCTTACACAATTTATTTTCGTAGAGACAAAGACAATGAATCAAATTAAAACAAAAGTTAGCAAAACATTGTGGCATTGGACAAGATATCAATTAGAGTACCCAATAAGAAAGAAAAAAAAAATTGTATCTAGAGATTACATATATTGTACATATTGGAAATGATGTTAAGAAAAGAAAAAATCTTCAGTTTTATCAAGATTGGAAAAAGACGATCCTTGTCACCTTTGTGAAATTTGTATAGAGACAATAAACAGATTTTGAGTCTACGTAATGAAAATATTAGTCATTACAGAAAATGAAGAAACCTAAAAAAAACAAAATGGGAAAGAGCAAAAAAGAAGAAAAGAAAGAATTAGTGAGAGGTGGTGGTTGGATTAGGTTGAAGCATTGAAGGAAGGACGAGAGGAGACAAGAGAGGGATCGGATCTGTGCCGTTTTGACAAAACGCAGACGCAGCCGCAGAAACGCCGGTCGTAGTAGAAGGAGCCTCAGCAGAAGAAGGAAGAGGTCGCGGTGGTAAGAGGAGAGGACAAGGAGCTCGTCTCTGAAGCCTGCAGCTAAGAGATCGCCTGAATACACAATCGTCGTTGTGAACTCTCATCTCAAAACCTGGAAATGGATCTCCTCCTCGCACTGATGAATCCTCCATTTTCTTGATTCTTGATTCTTGATATTCTTGATTCTTGATTCTTGATTCTTGATTTAGCTTGACAAATGTAACAAGACTTTTTTTTTCCTGTTTCTTGTGTGTTGTGTTTTACAATGTTGACGCTTGTTTTTGTATTTAAAGGGATTTGAAATCTGAGTTTATAAAAAAAGAAGAAGATAATTAGGAAATTAGGGGTTGCTTAGCGTGAGGATTTTAATAGTGTAATTAAATAGTATATGGATAATAATAAAAGAACAATATCTTTTTTTTAAAAACTTGAAAATTTAGAAAATTGGATGAAAGTGTGGTTGTTGTGCTGCGTGTATTGACTCAAAATATGGCTAAAAAAAACAGACGAACAAAAAAAAAATTGGTCAATGGTCAATAGATTGGATAGATATGAGATCTATTATGCTTATGTTTAGTGTTTTTTTTTTTTGTCATTTAAAATAAGAAATGTTATGTTTAGTCTTTGTATATAAGACGATTTTAATTTTGGCATGAGGAATGCGTTATTGTTGGAAACATGTGGCCGCGTACGGCCGTGTATTTATTTTTAGCTAATACTTGTAAAATTATCATTTTGTTAACTAAAAAAAACTAACCGAAAAATTCACATTTTTTTTTTTGGTTTGAATTCATCACAAAATTTGCTATTTTAGAAGAATAGGTACTCACAATTTTTTGTTTTAAAGGACTAATATAATTTATGATATAAACATATGCATGTGTAGTGCAGCAATAAAAATAGACAATAGTCTGCAAAGTCATAATATCAAAAAATCTGTGAGACAATCAAAAGATATCCTCTGCCATGAGGAATCAATCCTCAACCCACACTGAAAGCCATGTACATCAAGAAACAAAAGATACGAGACGAGTCACATGTCAACAATATATGCTAAGTAAAATTATAAAAATTGAAAAGAAAAAATGTAACATGTAAAAAAAAAGATTTAACAATGAATGTGAAGAAATAATAATGGGCGGTGTTGTGGTGTGTGGTGGGGAGGTTTCACTTTGTTGTGTCTCTCTTCCATGTGACTCGAGAATCTATACAACACCCAACACTATCGACATAGTTTCAGTAAACACGCCCCTTAAAGTGTTCGGTGACAATGTCTTCACACTCCCTCACATGTTCAATTTATTACATACATACATATACGTACGTAGCTTCTATGAACCTATAAGTATTGTATATATGGTGTCAAACAAATGATACAATATGGCCAACATATAACTTATTATGCTATAATACATGTCTCGAAAGTTTATTGAAAGCTACAATTGCATCTTCTTTTGTTAGGTGCATATATAGATAAAGTTGGACTGGATTTTTACTTACTTTGGAAACTGCAGTTCTTTGAAATGATGTCAAGCTGATAGTTGTTTGGGAGATTTATTTGGAATCAATCAATCATATCTGTCAAATTAAGGGAGAAAATTGTAAGAAAACAGACTGATCTCAAACTAGATATGTCTTCCCAAAAAAACAACTATAGGCCATTGAATCATCATCCAGTTATGCCGTATGTGTAGTTTATTTGTTTCAGGTCATGAAATTTTTAAAAAGACAGAAGCAGTTTAGGCTGAAACATCTGAAGAAGTAGATTTGATATATATACAAGAAGTGCAGGTTAACAACACTTAACACTTAGTCATGACATAAACTAAACCCTTTTGTCTTTTTTCCCCCCTAACCAAAGTTGGATCCTAGACCAAGAATTAAGGTTATATTTTGGTGATAGATTTACAGATTCTTCTCATGTTTAGAGAAGCAGTTAAAAAACCTAGAGGAGATTTGAAGTTCACAGCTAAGTGAAGTTGTTCTTCAAGAGTAGGACCGGACCAAGCCGAAGTTGACAAAAGATTTCGACTTGAAGAGACCTCCGAAGAGAAACCTTGTCGGGGAATCGTGAGAAGGCGATTTCTGTCTTTGTTGTTGTTCTTGAGGGTTGTTCTTGACCTTAAGGATAGTTTGTCCTATGGTTTGTCTTATGGAATCTATGGTCTTGGCATCGATTGAGTAACCAGATGCATCACTGACATAGAATGTGTTTAGAGCTTTGCCTCCTTTGGTTTTCACTTCAGCTCTTGTGACTGTTAGGCTGTTTTCACGGAATATGCGAGTCACATTTGACAATAAGCCTACTCTATCCGTGGTGCAAAGTTCCAACTTCAATCCCTACAACATTACACAATGATCTTCAATTACAGTTACAAAAAGAGTATATGCCAGAAACTATATATATATATATGGTGGATCATGTACCTCAGATACTCTTCTTTTGATAGCTGCTTCAAGACACTGTATGACTCTTTGCTTCTCTGCCTCTGATTTTACAGGGGATCCATCTATATGCCTCACATAATACTCCTGCAAAGCAAAGGCTAAACCAATTAGAGAATGAATCAGGGAATCTCTCTGCTCTAGTGTAATTGGATCTTTCTATACCTGATATGCCTCTGTGCCTTCAGTATCAACACTTCCATGGAAAACCACGTACTGCATATCAGTCAAAGTGCAGACTGTGTCGAACAGAAGCTTTGGTCTGTCTTTACATCTGACTGTCACCACAGAGTAATCCTTATCGAGCCAATTGTCAACACAAACATCTGGTCTTTGCCTTTCATCTTGGATGGAGGAATCATCATCCACCACAGTCTGTTCATAGTCTCTATCTTCAAACATCATCTGATGAAGCCTCCTATCTGTGTGGACCTCTCCCTGAGATACTACGGTTTTGGCTTCCCTTGGTGTGTTGCTTCCCTTAAGCACATTTCTGAGAAGGTTCTTGATCCGAGACAACCTCTCTGGATCAGAAATTCCACACCCGGTTAAGTCATCTGTCACCTGCATCACAGCAGCTGCTCTTGTGTTATGTGTCCAAACCTCGGCACTTAGGACACTGCATTTGAGGTGGTTCAGAACAGCAGACAGTTCAGACAGTAGGCCTGGTCTGTCACATCCAGTTAACTCGATAACAGTGCTGTCTGTTGATGGTATGACACCAACAGATCTCATGGAAGTAGAGAAACAAGCTTCAGGCCCAAGAGACTTGAAAATTAACCACATCACTCTCATTAGACTCATTGAAACTCACATAAAAAAAAAAAAAAAGAGAACCAAAGGAAAAATGAACAAACTCACCTTTTGGATATAGTCTAGAACAACTTCATCAGTGACTTTGTTACCATCTTGGTCGGTGACATTAAATACTGCCAAGTTGCAGAGAGAATAAGAGAATCAGTTCCATGTTCAAAAAGTAAAGAGAATCCCAACAAAAATAAAGACCATTTAAAGAATTGGAACATACCATCCATGAACCAACCACCATCAGAAGATATGTAAGCCTTAGAGATAGTAAGGTTAAGATCAGTAAGGATTTGTACAACTTCAAGAAGAATCCCATATTCATTTGCACTATCAACCTTAAAAATAACATCAAGATAAAAGCAAAAAAATTCAGGACAAGGCTACATAAATGATGAAACCAGGATTTGTACATAAACCCCAATATAAAAAAAAAGTACCCTTATCACAGTTGCCTTCTTGCAAGAGTCATTATCAATCACAACCCTGAAAGAAAAAAAGAAAAAAACAAAACAGAGAGGTTTTATCCAAAATCAACATCAGTATTAAAAGTGGTTATACACTAACAAAAAAGAAAGAAGAAAAAAAGTTGAAAAAATACCTTGGTGGATTCATTCTTCTTATCAGTTTCTCATACTCATTATCCATATCTTGTGAGAAACTCATGCTAACATCTGTTCAATCCAAAATTCCCAACACACACAAAAAAAAAACAGTGAGATTATGATTCCTAAGTTTTGTAATTTCAAAGACAGAAACTTTCACAAAACGAAAAAGAAAAAAAAAACTTGGTTCTCTCTGTTTTCTTAGAAACAAGGAGAGAGAAAACAGAGCTATCTTAGCAAGAAACACAGAGATCCCACCGACATCAAAATCCTAGGTAACTTCTAAAACAGCTTCACAGAGTAAAACCCCAGAAGAAGAAGAACAAAAACTATAACAATAACAAAAACAAAAAAAAACCCTTTTCATCCTAATTTCATAAAATCAGACACAACAACAATAACAACAAAGAAAAAAACAAAAGCTTGAAACCTATACTAAACCAATAATGAAAAAATCTTTGCCAAAAAATCGTATGAAGAAGAAAAGAATCAAACAATGAGAGAGAAGAACACAAAAAACGGAAAGAAGAAGAAGAAAGAAACGTACCCATTATAAATGTTCCTTATGTGGGTTTAAGCCACTCTTTGAATCTTGTGACACTTGAGAGAAAGAGAGAGAAGAGAAGGAGAAATAAAAGTAGTTTCAGTAAATTTCGAAGGAGCAAAAGGTAGGAGAAAGACTTGCATATATAATGGCGACCCACAAGATCTTTTTTTTTTCTTTTCTTTCACACACTCTCTCACAAATATTTTATAATAATAATATTTTCTTAATTTAAAAATGGAAAATTAATCCAACAAAAATAGAAATTAATCTGACACGATTCTCCCATAAACGAGCAACTCACAAGAAGAAGAAAAATATTTTATTTTTATTTTCTTTCCCGCGGCTTCGATCGGAGAAAAAACTGATTTTGCTTATCTCTGTTCTTTAATATACGAAGAAGAAGAAGAAGAAGGAGGAAGAGAAAAGATGTGTGAACTGTTACAACAACACTCGGCGTATGTTAGCAACCAACGGCGTGTTTTTTCCAGCGTGGAACAGCTAAAATGCGCGGATAAGTTAGCATGTGATTGCGAATAAAATTTACTGGATTGGTAATTATGACAAGGTCTTTCCCTCTAATCTGTCACCCCAAAGTTCTCGGAGTTAAAAAGTTAATTTTATTTTTTCAACAGTTTCGAATTTTAAGCCGATTCTGATTCTTAAGATTGGATTAGAGATTCTGATTTGATTTCCTTATTACTGTGAAAGAAAAAAAAATGATATGATTCCATTTTCAAATTATGTAGCAAAAAAAATAAGTGAATAGATTCATATATACCACGTATTGATTCCTATAGAATATTATAAAATATATACGAATGTG